AGGACACCAGACTCCAGCAGGACACTGCTGCTATCCCAGTAGGGGCTGCCTCCAATCTCTCTTTTCCTGGTAGGGGCTCGAATCTCAGTGAGGCTGGCCTAGTGGCTTGCAGGGCAGGGGCAGAAGATGGGGAGGGGGAGGGGGAGTGTACAGAGGGAACATGTAAATACTATCAGAAGTAATTTCTGTGCCTGGGCTTCCCAGGAAACTGATCCAAGCTCCTCCCATGGTGCCACGATGCATCTCACACCACCCCTGCCTCCCTGCCTGTCCCTTTGGTGCTCTCTGCATGCCATTCCCCCTAAGCACAGAGGATGTCAGCTAACCGGAGTGGCACTGCTCCTGTGCCCAGGCTGTCAGCATCACAAGCAACATAGTAGTAAGGGGTGAGAAGACTTTTAAGACAGATATGATGTCAGTAACAATTACAGTCGAGCCCAAACAAACAAAATGAACCTAAAATCCAGGACCAGTTCTGCGCACCAGCAGAGGGAAGTATCACAAGATGCTCTTGGGAAGATTGTAGGCAGGTATGGGGGAATGCCTGGGTGTTGAGGTCAACTTAGACTATGTATGAAGATCTATCCAAAAAACGAATGGCAGAATCCTAAAGTCACGGAGACCATAGTGTCCAATCACCTGCCAGGTCAGGAGAGTCCATCTCTAGCCTAGTGTCCCTGATGTGATGATCATTTGGCTCAAACCTTTTGGAACATGAATCTGAGGACCATACACAGCCACCTGTTCCAGAGTTTCTCCTTACACATGGTATCCATTATGGGAGCTCCTTCTAGCCTTTTGATTGTTTAATTTGGATTGAACCCACCATGCTAGACACAGAAGCCAGAAGCTATGTCTCCCTAAACCATTTCTTCATTCCCTAGGCTTCTCAGGTTCCAGATCTTTGATGCTCTGGCCAATTCACCTCTGCAAGAGCTTCTGGTGCAGAATGCTGTGCTGTGCCAGTCATTTATTAACTCAGCAGAAGCCTTTGGTACAAATGGCCCAGAGGTCAAAAGTTTAAGTTTTAGAACCACACACCCCGGGATTCAAGTCCTGGTTCCATTGCTTACTAGCTGTGCAACCTTGGGTAAGTTACTTAACATTTCTGAACTTCTGTTCGCTCCCATAAAACAAAGGTAGGAAACTATGGCTCCTTATAGAAGATTAAATAATGCAGTGCCTGGTGATGATGTTCCATGGACCCTTGCAGAAGGTACAGAGAAGGGGGAAGAAACTCCTTTCTCTGACTCTGCTGCTTGAACTGGGGCCTCTCATTTTATTTTCCGCTGGGACTTACGGCATCAGCTCCCCTGGTTTTCTGGCTATTGGACTCACAGAGCTCACACCCAGGGCTCTCCTGGGGTTCCTGCTGCTGCAGCAACTCAAGGGATGTCTCAGCAGCCCGGCTGAGTCAGCTCCTTACGACACAGGCATCTCTCTCCATGTCTGTATCTACAGCTAAAGCTGTCCCGTCCTCCTATTGGGTGGCTTCTGTTTTCTCCAGAGCGCTGATGACTATAAATAGCCTCAGGTGGTGGGAACTCAGGAGCCAGAAATAAGACTCGAGTGGGCAGAAATGACGTAATTACTTCTGTCACCTCTGGGCACTGTACCATCCTGAATGGAAGATCTAGAACTCAGAACGCTGAGTGAATGATATGAGGGACAAAAGCCACAGTCTCGGGGCCACACCAACCCCATTCACGTGCTCTCCTTCACGTGGAGGTCATGCTCTTTAGCCCCAAGAAGCACAGGAAGTGAGAACCACAACTAAGGGCACTGGGACACAGGCAGGCCACAAGACACTACAAGTCCTATACAACACATGTCTACAGAAAGTTATCTTTGGTATACACCACTTAAAAGATTAGCTCAGAGGGAAGGGGACTACTCTTAGGTGAGGTCTTCAGAAACATTTGTCAGAGCCTAATTGAGTAATAGAATTACATATACGTATGTATATATACATATATATGTATACATACATACATACATGTATATATATACAGGGTTTCTCTGTGTAGCTTTGGAGCCTGTCCTGGAACTCACTATGCAGACCAGGCTGACCTAGAACTCATAGAGAAGCGCCTGCCTCTGCCTCTCAAGTGCTGGGATTAAAGGTGTGCACCATCACTGCCTGGCCCTGAGTAATAGGATTTTAAAAGTGAAGAAATTTCAAAAAATCTTCTGAAATGGGGGCAACCACCCAAGTCTCAGCAAGGGGATGGTCAAGCAGGAATTGGGTTAGGAACGGTACGTGTGGATGACTTGGAGGCTCTGGAGGAGAGCAGCCTAGCTTTCCCCTGATGGTGAGTGAGCCATGATGCTGGTATAAGGGCACAGCTAGAGGGGGTGCAGTGACTGCTTCTTCTGGCACACAGGGAGCTAGAACCCATGTCCTTTATCTTGGTGGCATTTTCCTTTAATCTGAACTAAGGTCAACTGGACAGACTGTATTTGGACTAAGCTGCTCATTGATGCATAATTGTTAAATATGGCCACCTGCCAAAAACAACTGAAGACAGGAGTAATATTTTTGACTCAAATGATAAAATACATCTTCTTAATCTCACCCTCCTAGAAATAGCAATACCCGATCACACATGAAGGCCATTCCTTTCAAGTTAAAAGATCCCTCCCCAAACTGTTGCTTCCAGAGAGTCCCCCTATTAAGTTGGCCTTCCTGGCTACACAGAGGAGCAGGACTTGGATATCTGTCACCTAGCAACACCTCCATAGTATACTGGGTTGTTGAGTTCACCTGGAGGATTCCTGGTTCCCCTCCAGAACCCCCAACTTCCCAGTGAAGTTCTGGGTCCTCAATATTAAGTAGAAATATGCAGAACAAGTTTGTACTCTTTTCCTAAGAAAAGTTGTCTTTGAGATTGATTGTTCTTTTAGGCACACGCAAGAAACCCATCACATCTCTCTTTTCACCCTCGAAAGAACGGCGACAGGGGGAGGGGGAGGGAGGAGGTAGAGCACCTGTCACACTGACTGGTTTTTGATTGTGACTTTTTCTTGTATCCATGTTACACACATATCTCTAGGGACAAAAACTGCTCACAGTTTGGGAATTCTATCCTCAGGCTATGATTACTCACAGAAAAAGAAAAAGAAACTGAAAGCAAACTAACAAAAATTGGTTAGTCAAGAACATCCCATAGAAAGAGAAGCTGTTCACTGGTGACCATATACAATCATCAAGGCCAAATTCATCCCGTAGAAAGAGATGGTGTCTATTGGTGACCAAATACAACCATCAAAGGAACTTCAAGAATGTTCAGTTGTTCAAGGCTAAGGCAGCCCATAGGCCAGCTTCCTTCTTCCGCCCAGCACAGAGACAGGGATACCTGCAGTTCCCAGCAATTGGTAACACTATGGAGGCTCATCTGTTTTAGGAATTGTCTTTGCATGGTAGAGTGAACACGATTCCAGGCTCTGAAATCTAACAGGTACAGTCTACTGCTTTCTCCTGTATGAGCGGGGTCAGTTTTACTCTCGAAGCCTCTTTCCTGCTGTGTAGACTGGAGCCATCCACACCCTTTCCTAGAACTCTTGAGAGCTCTCTACTGAAGAATGAAGGCGACTTCTAACGTAGTGCCCGATTCTTAGGCAGACACAATCGCCCATTCCCTGCTGTCCTCCAGTGCACCTGACTTGCCCAACTCTGCTTTTCAGTTTCCTCATTAGGTGACCTAGACCGGAACGTCTCAACCTTCCTAATGCTGCGACCCTTTAATACAGTTTCTCATGTTGTGGTGACCCCCCACCATAAAATTATTTTCATTGCTACTTCAGAACTATAATTTTGCTACTGTTATGAATCACAATGGAAATATCTGACATGCAGGATATCTGACATGTAACCCTTGTGAAAGGGCCATTCAACCCCAAGGGGGTCACGACCCATAGATTGAGAACCACTGCCCTGATGGAGCCAGATAACGAAGGAGGCACACTATTTACCTGGCTCCCATCCTGCAGGCTGTTTTCATTTTTTTTTTTTAAAGCAGGGGGCTGAGGAATAGCTCAGAGATTAAGAGCATTGCCTGCTCTTCCAGAGGTCCTGAGTTCAATTCCCAGCAACCACATGGTGGCTCACAACCATCTGTAATGAGATCTAGTGCCCTCTTCTGGCCTGCAGGCGTACATGCAAGCAGAATATTGTATACATAATAAATAATTTTTTTTTAAAAAAAGGTATGCTTTGCCCTGAAATTTGGTCATATCCTGAGTTGTTACCAGCAGCAGTTGCGGTGGGAGCTTTGCTGAACACTGTAAAGTGAACAGAGGGGCCGCTCAGGCGAAGAGATCGCGCAGTGATCTGGAGTTGGGGAGGATGGACCAGAAATGGGTGCTTTTGTCTTAGAAAGGTAGAAGAAGGGAGCCAGGGCACAGGGACACATAGTAAATCCCTGTCAACAGCTCAGTCCCTTCTTCCTGTGAGCCCAGCAGATGGAGGCCCTGCTTCCTGTCTGTGTGACTGCAGCCTGAAGGGCACACAAGACACCGATAAAGATCAGTCCCTGTCTCCTATAGGCACAAACCGTAGAGTTCTTAAAAGCCATGATGGCACATGCCTTTAACTCTAGCTCTTGGGAGCCAGGAGCAGGTGGAGCTCTATGAGTTCCAGGCCAGACGGGTCCATGTAATTAGTTCCAAGCCAATCGGGGCTAGAGGATGAGACCCTGTCTTAAAAACAAATAAAAAAACCAAAACCAAAAACTTCACATGTAAGGAACAATGGGCTGTGTTTGGTCAGGGAAGGCTTCAAAGCAACAAGTTTTGAGCGCTTTGAAGGGGGTGACTGAAGATGGAAGGAAGAAGGGGAAGAATTCAGTGTCTGGATCAGGAGATGCAAAGCCCGGCGCCCGGGAGCTCTTCCTGTGCGTAAGGACGGCCCCTCCCATCAGCGCCTATCTCCTGTCATCTGATGGCCTCCTTCGCTGGTCCCCGCAGACCTGAACACAGGGTTGGGTCATAAGTGGTCTAACCTCACTGGATCGGAGAACTCCGAAGAACGGGTAGAGGAAGGCGGGTACGAGGGCTGCTGCTCCAAGAGGCACCGCCTCGGACACCCAGTACACGGCAGTCACAAGCAACACGTAAGCACACGCGGTCTCCTGGAAGGGGAGGAAAGAGGTACTTAGTCACTGGGACAGTCACTGTTGCCATGGAGACTCCCGATGAGACCCAGGGCCAAGATCCCACCGGAAGGACCCGTGCTGTGCGTGTGGTTGGCTCTCGCATCCATATGCAGCCTGGACTTAGATAGAGTCCTAGCTCTGATGATTCTTAAAGCCACAGAGAGTGAGGATTGATTCTGAGTGCAGCATTTGGGTCAAGTTCACAAACAGTAGAGATGGAGTTCAAAGCTTTAATTGGTGCCTATTGGATCAAGTTGTTTAGCTACTGGAGGCTCTTGGGGGTAGTGGAAGATAGATCAGTGTGCGTCTGATTGGTTCACATCTGGGGTCTGGGGTCAGCCATCCTAACCTTTAATCCAGGTCTACCTTCTGTGAAGATTTTTTGGGGCATCTGTTATATACCCACTGAAACGAAGTGGTTTGGTAAGAAATGAAATTTAAAAATAACCCACAAGGTGGCTTCCGTACTGTGTTCTCATCGCCTCTGGGGAGAACTTCTACCTCAGGACTCTCCTAGGGAGACCAGCAAGGCCTTGAGTCCACCCTGACTTCAGCTTCATTGTATTTACATACTGATGTTACATTAAACATTTCCCTTGAAGCTGGGCGGTGGTGGCACACACTTTTAATCTTAGCACTCGGGAGGCAGAGGCAAGCAGATCTCTATGAGTTCGAGGCCAGTCTGGTCTACAAGAGCTAGTTCCAGGACTGGATCCAAAGCTACAGAGAAACCCTGTCTTGAACCTCCCCACTCCCCCTCCCCCCAAAAAAATTCTCTTGAAATATAAATTCTCTTTACTATCTTAAAAGTAAGTAAAGTTAAATCCCCTTGTTTTAAAAATATTTTTTTCAAGCAATTTGATTAGGTAAGGTTTTTTGTTTGTTTGTTTTTGTTTTGTATTGGGTTTTTTTTTTTGTTTTGTTTTGTTTTGTTTTTGAGGGAAAGGGTTTAGCAATGCTGCCAGGCTGGTTTCAGACTCATGGGTTCAAGTGGTCCTCCTGAGTCAGCTTCCATGACTAGAGGCCTGCCACGACATCTGACTTAGATGTAATTAATTCAACGAATTGCTAGGCAAGAACTATTGGCTAGTTTTCCCTTCAATTCTCAGCCTGAGCTTGTACCATGTACTAGCAGTGAGTGGGGGATCTTTTCTCTGGGAGGGGTCTGGTGTTGACTGTGGGTGGGTACAGATAGGCAGCAATCCCTAGACCGAGGCCCATTTTGGAGGAAGGAGAACAGACACATCTTTTCTCAGCCTTGGCTCTAATGACACTTGAGGTGGGCTCCTTCTTTGCTCTTGGGCTTTCCCATGGGTGCACTGAGCCCGGTCCCATCATTTGCCTCTTCCCACTTAGCCATCAGTAGACCCTCCCTTGTTACGACAATCCCGATCTGTTCTCATTGTCCCTGGAGGTCACGCCCATGGCCTGGTGCCACAGAAATATCCTTCTATAGAGGGGATAGAAGGCTAACCATCTGCAGGAGATGGCAGGGTAGGAAAATCTGGAAATTTACCAGTATTCTCCTCAACTCACCAAAAACCACACTGTGCAAGCAAAGCGTACAGAGGGTAGATAACACAACTTGATAAAAACACCACTGTTCCTAGCCTTGGCTACCAGCAGGGCTGATTGTGTGATTGGTGCCAAGGAGTGGTCCTGAGGAAGGTTAGGAGGTTCACTCTTGGGACGTCACTTTCCAAGATCTTAATAATTGCCACATTCCAAAGTGTTCACAGAGGACAATTATACAGAGACCCAAGCCAGCTATAACTCCCTTAATGTTTGCATAGGATGCAGGTATGATCCAGCCCAGTCTGCCTGCCCAACAAGGAACCTGACAAATCCGTTCCGGGATCAGCGATAGCTGGCTTTAGTGGAAGGGACCTTGCTCCCTCCGGATAGCCACGGATTATGGCAGACTGGGGTTAGGAAGGGGAAGTGAGCCCACTGTTGACTGTAGCACCCACAGAATTTTCCTCTAAGGACAAAGGATGAGATAAGAGGTACAGCTTTCAGAATTGCTGATAACATGCTAGAAGCGATACCTTTTGGAAAGGATGCAGTTTAGAGAAACGACCTCCTCATTGTAGACATGATGCTCTAGCCCACGTTTCCTTTTTGTGGCAGAGAGACAAGAGGAAGGGTTTTAAGTCCAGGTTAGGATAATAGGGCAGAATGTTGTCTGTCCCTCACTGAGGCAACCTTTACAGGGCCCCGATTTAAGTGAGAAAAGGAGAGAGAGAGAGAGAGAGAGAGAGAGAGAGAGAGCAACAGACTGATTTTCTTTCTGCTATGCACCATTGGATTGGAACAGGGAAGAGTTAGGTAGGTTAAGATAACTTTTCTGCTGTAAATAACATAATGAGACGTTGATAGATCTCTTGTCCCCTGCAGAGTTGAGAACAGAGTAACCTACTGTCGTTTTTGTCTAGCTTCCTTTAGAGTAGAAGGATGGAAGACACCTTTAGAGGACATTGTGTCTGTTTCTCCTTAGTTTGCCCCCGGAATCCACACCAGCTTCCTTCTGCCATTTCCCTGCCCTCTTCACCTTTAGGTGACTGTGGAGTTAGATACCCCTGGGACTCCATAGAGTTCCCCACATCTGACCAGACTCTGGGACATGGATAAATTTAGTTGGCTAACAGGTCTCTCTTATCTTATTGTGTTTATGTGTGTGTGTGTGTGTGGGTGGGGGTGCTCTGGAACCCCCAGGCTCCACATGAACATTCAGATAAGGAATGCCTTTAATAGGTAGTGCTTGTTTCTTTACGTTCCCTCCTAAAATCAGAACAGAAGCTGAGCATAGGAGAAAGATTGTGAGCTTGAGGCTAGCCTGGGTTACATGGCAAGACAATGTCCAGAACAGAACAGAACCAGAACCCAACAAAGAAACAGAACAACCAAACAGACAATAAATGGGGAAGTCTTCAAAGCGGCTTTTCCCTATAAAGTCAGTTTTCTACCTTGGGTTTCCTCTCCAGGAAGTTCACCCTTCAACACCCCTCAGTTATATCTCACACAAGCCCTACTAGAAGGGACTTGAAGTCTGTCCCTCTGCTGTCGCCAGTGACTGAGGGGCACTTTGAAAAATCTCTTTTGAGAGACTGGGGTGCAGCTTCCACTAGGGATACCGAAGTGTTCAGACGAATGTCCCTTTTGGTGGTTCTCTGCTGGAGAGCAAGTCTAGGGCCTTTTGCATGCTCAGCAACTGCTGTACCACGCAGCCACATTCCCAGCTCTGCCCTCTTCTGTAACATCATAGAGTCCAGACTTTAAAGAATTGGGTAAGGAGAGAGGAAAAATCATTTTGACGCCCCCTAAAATGTGGCTATGGCTCATCACTTGGGAGAACCAGCAGATTGCAAGCTAAGGGCTCCTGCCCAGATGCTCGGCCGCCTCTCTCAAGGGCAGCCTAGAACAAGAGATTCCGTCTAGGAATGCTAAGGATTTTAATATCGGAGTCTCAGAGTTGCATGCAAGGGGTGGAAGGTAGCCGGGAGATATAACTGCCCCTAGTTTGTGCCTCCTGTGGCCACTAGTTAAGGTCCCCAAGGATGAAGGCTGTTAGGAGGGTGGGGGAGTGAGGAGGTGGGCAGGCAGGGCTTCCTAATACTGCTCAGTAGAAGAGGGCATTTCCTTAAACTAACCTGATATTGGGAGAAAAATACCATAAAAAGAAAACTCAAAACAATCAGTTAGACAAAGCAGAAAATTAACTGTTACACAGACCAGAAACAAAAAATGTCATTGGCAATCACTGTCTGCTAATCCCAGACCAGAGTTAGCTGGTGCCTTCTTGGCAGGCTGAAGTATTTAGTTTGCTGAAGATTTAAGTCAGCTTGTGTTTAACAAGACCATGATAATCCCTTCTGTTCAACTTTTAAAATTTCATCTTGGTTACCCAGTTCCCCAGAGAACAGTGTGGGAGAGATTCCTTTAGTTAACCTGCCTTGGCTTATTCTTTTCTAAAGTCTCAAGGACAGTGCCAGCTTGGAGGTTGGCTACCCCCCCCCGTGTCCCCCCCCCCCCCCCCCCCCCCCCCCCCCCCCCCCCCGCTGCACACCAGACCTGTGAGGAGAGAGAGGGGAATAAGGGAAAGGAGACCGCGAAGGTCCAAGAGACTGATTGAACAGTTTCAGTGCCTTTGCTTCCAAACTCAGGCTTTAAAATTTGGCCATGGCCTGGAGTTTTGGGGCTTGCATTTCTGTTTTCTTGTTGTTTTAGGTTTTTTTTTTTTTTTTTTGACAAAAAGGAAAACACAGAAGCTTCCAGATAGTCCGAGGACCAGAGTAACAGACTAACCTGTGCTTCCAATTTCAATACCCCCTTCCCAAAAGTTTGCATAGCAGGTTCAGGATGGCCATTTTCATATCTTGTGGTCGGAGACCACCATGATCTCTAGACAGGCTCCCTCCCAGCTCCACCCCTTCTGGATAGTTAGTGAAGGACTTTCTGTGTCTCTAATTGGTGTCACATAATAATAGCCACAGGTAGAGAAATAGGGGCTCCCCGGCCTGTCCTTTCTGTGGGTTCAACCACATCTCCTGCGCTTTTTTGCAACATGACAGTCATTTCAGCTATGGTCTCCCACTCAGTGGAGGCCAGAATTGGGGGGCCTTTCTTGGAGAAGTATGACAAGTTCATCCAAATGAAGACGATTTCAACCATAATGAAGTCATCTTGGGGTGCCCCACAAACACTCCCAGACCTCCTCTGCTCCCGGACTCCCTCTGATGCCCTGGCAGGGGTAGGCAGGCTGCTACTTACACTGGTGGGGTAGATGGTGGGCAGAGGCAGCAGCAGCAACGGCACACAGATGACTAATAGCAGCTTTCTTGCTTGGAGAAGGCCCTGCAGCAAGCCCATGGTGGACCTGTCTGGACTGAGTCCTCGACAGAGACCTGGACGGCTGGCTTTCTCCTCTGCTCCACTCTACGCACTGCTCCCAATCCGAGAAGACGTCTCACACCTTCCCTGGCTTCCAAGGGTCAGTCCTCTTTGGTCGTGGGAGCAGAAAAGCAGGGTGGCTGTACCCAGTTTCCACATTAAGCTGGGCTCCCTTAGGTAGGATTGAGCAGCATTGTGTTATGGCCATCGAAAAGGAGCTGGAAAAGGGTTCTGTGCCGGGGGGCGGTGGGTTCTCCCTCCGTGGTTAACGAGAGGGCGGCTCCATTCTAGGTGTCAGCAAAAGCCCTCACAAGCAACGTGCTTGCGGCTGCTGATCAGCTGTGAAGAACCATTGAAGGCTTCAAAAAATAAAAACAGTTGCTTTTCTTCTTGCTGGTGACCCTTTTGGGGGCAGTTGCTGTTTTCCCTCCGACCTGGCTGACTGTTGGTAAAAAATCTGGTAGCCCCTTCCCTTAAAGCAAGCACCGATTTGAGTCTGAGGCACGTGCAGACCTCAGATTGGGGAAGGGTGAGGGGAGCGCTGTCTCCCAGGATCTGACACCTTAACTCTGCTTGGATGTCTTTCCTTCAAACTGGGCTCCTACTTAGAGCTTTCCTGGAGTCTGGCTTTCCAAAGCAGGCATGAAGAATCTCCAAGACATTCCTTTTTGTTAGAGTCCTAAGACCTGCTGGAGGCCCACCTTTAACTTTCCTGCACCAATGGGAAGCAGGCTCAGGGGCCGTCGTTCCGCCCATTCCTCAAAGCCTACCGGCAAGTTGAAAAGAATGAGCCAACGTTGCATCGGAAGGCAGCCCTCGATTGGTCACAGCAGGGGCCTGCTGATTTGGCAGAACCCAGGCAGCTTCCGAAGCTTGTTTTTCCATTTCTCAAACATCCCAGGGGTTGGATGTTGGTCAGCACCCCGTGCATAATCCCACCTCCCCAAGCACCGCTGCACTGTTTCTGAGCATGGGACCCGGCTTTCCTGGGAGAATCACTCGCTCGCCACCCCGGGAAGACAACACTTTTGGTGACAGGAGAATATGGACATTAATTCTGGACTGAACAATATTAAGTTTGCTTCTTGGACACTTAGGGGATAGAAAGGTCAGAGCCAGCAGGAAGCATTGGCCTGGAGCAAAGACCCTGGGATGAGTGGGAAGGGAGGGGGCGGCTCCCCTCTGCTCTCGAAAAGACTAGATGACAGTTGGAGTGGGTATTTATGAAACTCTCTGAGGCTCTTTACCAAAGAAAGGAAGCAGGCAGTCTTCCTTGATGGAAACACAGGGCAGAGACAGAACGCAGGCCCATGCTGGTGATGGGGACAAGGCTCATCAATAGTTAGATCCAGAATTTCTCCTGCTTACAGATCTGGAGAAATGATTAGCCTCTTTTCCTTTCCTTTTCAGAAAGGACATATAGATTTGAAATAAGATGAGAAAGAGAAAGGGAAGACCCTAATATCTCCTACAAGATGGTTTTGGTCAGATCACCTTGACCCAGGCTGCAGAGCTGTGGCTTGTAAGCATTCACCTCTAAACTCTGCAGCCTAAGCTCCTGAAGTGATCCCTGGACTAAAAGTAGAGCGCCCAGAGAAGTGGCCCAACCAAACCCGTTCTCCTTGATTTTCAGGGTCAGAGAAACTACTGACAGATCTTTGAACTCATCCGGCTATCGTAGCGAGGGCTATGATGAGTCATCTCTACCTGCATGTCCAAGACGGGCTAGATCGTCTTCTGCATCCTTGCCTCATATTTGGGACGGTTTGGGAATGCAGAATAAACATGACCACATGCTTGTGATGTTTTGGTTACAGAGATGAGAGGGATTGGATAATAATAAACAGCTGTAGAAATCAGCATCTGTCAAACCCAGGAGCCGCTTCAAATTCCTCCATGACATAATCTGAGGTGACAAAGATTCCAGTGAGTTTAGTAACGCCATTGGGCCAACTGTAATACACCATAGGTGAAATCCGTTGACTATAATGAAGCAAGGCAAGTTACATGTTAGGGCCAGGAGTTCGCCTGGCCTATAATGCCCATATGAAGACAGCGCTTTCCAATATAGTGCTAAGGAGTATTGGATAGATTCCATGTGAAGAAGGCACCTAAAGTAGTCAAACTCTCAAACTATGTATTTTGTCTTTTGGAGACAGTCTCACTCTCTAGGCCAGGATAGCTTGGAATTTACTATGTGGCCCAGGTTGACCTCCAACTCATGGGGATCCTCCTGCAGCAGTCTCCCGAATGTTGAGAATACAGGTGTGAGCTCCCCCCCCCCCCGCTAAAGTAGTCAAACTCTCGTGGGAAGTGGAGCAGTGGCCAAGGTGTGGGGAGAAATGGGAAGAGAGTTGTTCAAAGGTCATCGAGTCCCAGTTCATCAAGATGGAAGCCGTTCACATCGGTGTGAGGGCTGCTGACGTGGCTCGGTAGCAGAGCACTTGCCCAGTGGGCAGGAGGTCCTGTTTCTGAGCCTTACACATTACAACCCCCCCCCCCCAATAATAAGAAAGCACCGTGCAGACACATGGGTGTTTGGAAACATCAACACGGCTGCGGTGGCAGGTTTCAGGTTGTGTTTGCTAACCCCAAAGAAAGGAGGATATGTAATCTATTAAGACAGGCTGGGAGAATAGGGGACATTACCAAGTCATTTAGCTGGGATTTCCTTTCATGCTAGCTCTCCTGATGACATGCCTTCGACGGAGTGATCCCAGATGTGACACCTTCGTTAGATTCAGGCGAGGTGACTGAGCAACACAGCATCAGCTGTGACAGGTGTGTCCTTGTGACCCCAGAGATGCAGATGGCTGTGTGCATCTCAGCTGCCCAGGAAGCTTCTGGACAGTGTGGCCATGTCAGGCTCGTCTCCTCAGCAAGCGCTCTGTGAGTAAATCTGATTGTCGCACGCGTGTAGGATGGGCAAGAAGGAGGAGAAAGCAGGAGGGTCTGTTTCTACCCCTTTGCCTCTGTCCTTCACTGAGCCAAGTGTGGGGCTATTATTTGGGGGAGGTTTTATTTTGTTGAACAGTAACATAATATTTGATTTTGTGTATCAGTGAAGTCAATGTTATAAAACTTTTTGCGTGTAAAATTAATCTGTCTTCGTTCAGACGAGAGTGATGCTTAAGAATCTAGTTACTCCCTAGGCAACAAAGAGGACCCTAAGAGAGGCATACATGGATCGAATGTACATGGGAAGTAGAAAAAGACAAGATCTCCTGAGTAAATTGGGAGCATAGGGACCATGAGATAGGGCAGACTGGGAGGGGAGAGGGAGAGGAGCAGAGAAAAATATATACCTCAATCATCTTCATCATCATCATCATCATCATCATCATCATCATCATCATCACCATCATCTAGTTACTCCAGGAAAGACTTCCACTGGAGGAATTTGGACCCCAACCCAGCCATGTAACTACTGACCTTCAGTTTTCCCTGCCTACAAGATGTACTAGGGTAAAGGTGGTGCAGAATTATGGGAGTGATCAACCAATGATTGGTTCAGCTTGAGACCCATGCCATGAGAGGTTACCCACCCCTGGCACTGCCTGGAGGGTCAGGACCCAGAGGCTGGACAGCCCAGAGACCTGGGATAGAACTAAAAACGACTGGGGAAAAAAAGCCAACGAAATGATTCCAAACGATTCTGCTATACTCATAGAATGGTGCCTAGGCCAATTATCAGAGAGGCTTCTCTTAGCAATGGATGGAAACAGATGCAGTGCTCCACAGCCAAACAGGTGAAACTCGGGGAGTCCTGTGGAAGAGGGGGAGGAAGAATTGTGGGGAACCAGAGGGGTCCTACAAGAAAACCTACAGAATCAGCTAAACAGAGTTCACAGGTGCTCCCAGAGACTGAACGTCAACCAGAGAGCTCCCGTGGGAGGTCACTAGGCATTCAGCAAATGTTACAGGTGTATAGCTTGGTCCTCTTGTGGGACAGGAGTTAGGAAACGATGGGAGCAGGGGCTGTCTCTGACTCTGCAACCTGCTTTTAGAACCCCTTCCTCTTACCAGATTTCCTGGCTCAGCCTTTATAGGAGAGGAGGTTTCTAAGCTTACTGTAACTTGCTATGCCATGGCTAGCAGATTTACAGGGGAAGCCTGCTCTTTTCTGAAGAGAAAGGAGTGGGGGAGGATAGTGGGGGCTAGGGGGAGGGACTGGGAGGAGAGGAGGAAGAAACTATGATTGGGCTGAAAATATAAATTAATTTAATAAAAATGATTTAAGTAATCAGTTAATTTGAAAATAAAGTTTTCATTTATCTTGAAAAGATCATGTCCTTTTTACCTTTTTTTTCAGCCGTTGATTGCCACGTAAATTTAGGCTCCAATGTATGAATATAAAATGCTTTTAATTTGTGTGTGTGTGTGTGTGTGTGTGTACGTGTGTGTGTTGGGTGAATGAATTACTATTGATCTCACCATTTCTTGAAATAATTTCCCTCCTCACCTGTCTCCAGTTCTCCTCCCCACAAATTGCTGCTCTTACAACATGGTAGGCAGCCAACCTAATCTTCTGCTAGCTCCTGAGTACGAATCTAGTGTAGTCTCCGGTCGGGAGCAAAGCACTCTGAGGGTTTTGCACAGTATCTAGGAACTGAGATATTGCTGGTCCCCTGCTCATTTCACATCCAGGAAACTACCCAGAGTAGGTCACGGATTATGGGTTCATCTCTGTAAAATCCAAGTATGTCTGCATGCTGTCCTTTGTTATAGCTGAATGAAACAAAGGAAGCCGTATGGGTGGGGTGAAATACTGAGAGGGAGGAGAAGGGGGCCACTAGAAGAGGCTGGAGACATTATCCCCCTCCAAATATTCACAACGGGACCCAACTGTTGAAACATCAGAGACGCCAACTATATTAGAGAAAGAGGCAAGCAGAACATCAAAGACCGTGTAATGTGCAGGAGCAAAAACAGTATCAGGGTTGGGGAATGGCTCAATGGGTAAGAATATTTGCTGGGCGAGATGAAGACTTGAGTTCAAATCTCTAACATCCCATGTAAAAATCCAGATGTGACCATGAACCCCAGTAACCCCAGCAAATAGGACAATTATTGGGGCTTCTGGTAGCCAGCCTAGCCCAAGTTCAGTAAGAGACCCTGTCTCAAGGGAATAAAGCAGAGGCTGGTAGAGTGGGACAGCTGACTCTTTCCTCTGGCCTCTATGTACACTCCCCACATGCACATACATGCACAGCACGCATGCACACACACATATGCACACACAGAGAGAGCAAAGGCAAGAAGAAGGAGGCAGAGAGAGAGAGTCACTGTTAGAAATGGTTTGGGAGTTAGGAAGAGAATACTCGGGTGAGGAAGAGCACGACCAATGGTTACTGCCTGAGCAGGTGAATTTGAAGATGAAACTCCAGGCTTGTTCTAGTGAGGCACCTTCATCTGGATCCTTAGGTCTTCTGCAGAGAGATCATGCAGCTAGAACATGTAGGCAAAACTCACCTAGAAGATTTGGGAAGTCCAAACTCATTGTGCTTAAGTGGCAATTGTAAAATACCTTTTCCAGAATGTCACCCAGCAGATGCCCACACTCAAATATCAGACTTCCTGCAGTATAGACCCCAGAATCCAGCTGGAGCCCAGAAGGAGAAA